TTGCCACTGCGACTGTCATTGCGAATGCGACTGCGACTGCGAGAACAGCAGAGTTCAACAACTGGATTATCACGTGAATCTTAAGGGGATTGCTTCCAGATATGCTTATACACATCGGTGTTAGTTTGTTTTGCCGGGATAATTTCAGTATTCGCAATGACAAGAACGAAATCACGTGTATGTTGAGTACACATGTGGATGACATATTGTGGGCCGCCGATGGAAAAAAGTCAGAGAGTCATCGATTCGGTATTAGCAGAGTTTGATACTCGCGAGATCAAGTCGGGTAAGTTACGTTATTGCGGTTTAGAAGTTGTTCAATATGAAGATTGCATGGTGAGTATCACGGCCAAGGTCAATATTGAGAAAATCGAAGCGGCATCCCTATCCCAGAGACAGTCCCCTCACGAGAACCTGCAATGAGGGCGAGACAGCACAGCTTAGATCGGTCGCGGGTGCTTTGTCATGGGTTGCACGCCCGCGCGCAAACCAGAGCTATTGTATCGTGTAAGCAGACTGCAGACAGCCCTGCGTCACGCTAAGGTACTCCATCTCAAAGAAGCCAACCGTGCATTAGAAGAAGCAACTCAGTCCGCTGACTGCGTGTTAGTATTTAAAGGTGGAGCTGTTAAATGTAAAGAAGATATGATCGTTCTTATTGTTACTGACGCCAGCCGGGCAGGAGAAGAGGATATAGTCAAGGGTCGAATCGAATTTTTCAGGTCACAGAGGGCTAGGTTCAATGGACTCGCAGGGCTTGGAACCATCGAGGGGAACAGTGATCATGTTCACCCTAAATTTTTTATCGAGTAAAGTTATCAAACGAGTACGTTAATCTACACTACAAGCGGAGACCCTGGCTTGCTTATGGGGCGTAGAATCCGGCGTGCGCATTCGCGCCGCCATCGGTGATGCGCGTGGGATGCTTGGCGCAGGAAGCTGCCAACCAACTGGGGAGACAAATCAGCCATGCCTATGAGACACTTATGGATGACAGGTTGCAAAAAACCTTGGGAGGCGCCATGCGCATGGTGCGCGTGGCGCGTTTGGTGCGTTTCCTTCTCCACCCACCTTCTGTCGTGCTCCTATCTCACGCTGCTCTCATGGAAAGTGTTATCCAGCGTGGAGCGTGGCTCACACTGATCGTGCCGGCGGGTGTAAAGTGGGGCCCTTAGACTGTGATCGCGCCGGATTTGGACCCTTGGACCCGTGCTCGCACGAGGTTGTGAGGCCGCCCTGGCATGCGCTAGTACCGAAAAGCGCGCGCGCTGTTCTGGCAAGCGCGCGTGTACTGTAAGCGCGATATTATTATGCTTGTCCGTTGTACACGTGCGCATATGTGCATATGCCACGCTCGCCTCATTCAACGTCTTATGTATCTGTTGAAGTTCGCAGCTGCCACATCCACCAACCTCTCTTCCCGACGCCGCTTACTGCTACAAGCCCTCCCGACGCCAGGGCGGAGGGGGGGCTTGGCCTCTTTCGACCTGCTTGCAGCAAGGCAGAACCGCTTGCGGTGAAAAAACACATCATCGACATTGGTAGCGGAGCTACCGTCGAACGGGTCAATCCACGGCGCGGAGTGCCGCCGCGAAGGTCGCGGCGGCGGAGCCTCAGCGAGGCCTGACCCCAGTGGGGGATCGGCATGCCCTCAGTAAGGGACATGGACGCCTGCGCGGCAGCAGCTCGAGCCCTCGCACGGCGCGCGGAGGAAGGGGGCAGTCCCCGGGCCGGTGGCCCAGAAGAAAACGATGATTTCCGATCGGCCGACGACGGTGCGCGGGCCCACCGCGGCACGCGGCCAGCGCGGCGCGCGCCGGAGGAGCCTCCTGCGGCGCGGGGGGCCCCCGTGGACGAGGCGTGGCGTTCTCCATGCTGAAGTGCCTGAACGAGGACACCGAGCAGCAGCGCGAGGCCTACGCCATCGGGTACGAGCGCTTGAGGTTCGTGATGGTGCTCTACACGCTGCAGGTGAAGAACGACCGCGCGTTCTTGCGCGATCGCCCCTGGGGCGCGGACAGCTGGGACCTGGACATCGTGAAGGACGTGATGGCCCTCCCCGGCGTCGAGGTCGGGCGGGGCGACCAGCGCGCGTTCGGCCCGGCGGTCGCGGACGCGCACGGCGACAGGCTCGCCAAGAAGCCGACAGGGTGGATGAGCAACATCAAGGAGGCGTTGGAGGAGGTCTGCAAGCGCTGCCCCATCGACACCAGCATTGGCAACAAGCACGAGCACTCCACCTTCGTCGGCGGGAACACGCGCGTGGCGGAGAGGGATCCCGGCGAAGCTCCTCCGTGCCATCCTTCGCGGTCTCCGCTGGCACTTCGGGAACAAGGAGGCGCTCGCGCTTTCGGCCCTGGATGCCGGGCCAAACGTGGACGACGAGGAGATCAGCCTGAAGGACTTCGTCGGGGGGTGGCGCGACACCTTGAGGACCGAGTTCTACGATGACCTCACCGGCCTTCCGCTGGGCCCCGCGCTGGCGAAGGCAGCGAGGCGCCTGGAGATGGACTTCGCGGCGCAGCTCGGCGCGTGGGCCTACGCGAAGGACGAGGGCTGCCGGCGCGAGCTTGGACGCAGGCCCCTCAGCGCGCGCTGGGTCGACATCGACAAGGGCGACGCCGACCGGCCGGACTGCAGATCCAGGATCGTCGCGCAGGAGACCAAGGTGCAGAGCACCATCGCCGGGGACGACATCGGCGCGGTGTTCGCGGCGACCCCGCCGCTGGAATGCCTTCGGCTCATCTGCAGCATGGTGGCGTCGAGCGACCCGTCCGAGGGTCGCGTGCTGCGCTTCCTGGACATCTCGCGGGCGCACCCGCACTGCGATATCAAGAGGACGGTCTACAGCAAGCTCACCGAGGAGGACCCGATGTCGCAGGAGATCGGTACGCGTGAGCTCTTGCGGATGGCGCTTTACGGGACGCGCGACGCTGGCCAGAACTTCGAGCTCACGACCGCCGAGACTGTCGTCGGCGTTGGCTGTGACCAGTCGGCCTTCTCCCCCTGCGTTTACTGCCGCAAGGATCTGCAGGCGATGACTTCTTGCTCGAGGACTCTCGGGACGGGGCCGAGTCGATCTGCGAGGCGCTGAAGACGAAGTTCATCGCGAAGGACAGGGGCGCGCTCGGGCCGGCGCCTACCGACGCGAAGGAAATCACTTGCCTCAACAGGGTAGTGCGCTGGCGAGACCGATGGAGCCAAGAGGGCGAGGTCATCGAGTGCGAGGCGGATCCCAGGCACGCGCAGATCCTGCACGCACAGCTCGGGATGGACCCCGGCACTGCGAAGTCGCCGAGCACGCCAGGGTTGACCCAGAAGCTGACACCTGAGGTCGAGCGCGAGCTGAATGAGCGCGAGGCAGCGGAGTACCGCAGCGCGTGCATGAGGCTGGGCTACTTGGCGCTCGACCGGCCGGAGGTGCAGTTCACGGCCAAGGAGTGCGCTCGCGGCATGCCGAAGCCGACGGAGCGACACCTGCGCCTCCTGAAGTGCGCTGGGCGCTTCTTGATCGGGGCGCCGCGCGCCATTTGGAGGTGGGGCCGTCAGCGGACACCGACGGTGATGGACGTCTACTCGGACACCGACTGGGCAGGCTGCCCGATCACGCGGAGGAGCACCAGTTCGATCGTGATCAAGCACGGGCAGCACTTGATCGTGACAGCCTCGACGACTCAGATCCCCATCTCCATGAGCTCGGGCGAAGCTGAGTTCTATGGCTGCGTGCGAGCAGCCAGCAGGGCCATCGGCATGCAGTCACTGTGGCAGAGAAGTGAACATTTCGCATCTAGAGCGATTCGGCAGCGGCTCTTGGCATCATGCAACGACGGGGTTGCGGCAAAGTCCGACACCTCGAGACGCCGACGCTGTGGGTGCAGAAGGCACTGAAGGACGGCCGGTTGCAGCTGGCCAAGGTTCCCGGGAAGTCAGACCCGGCGGACTTGGGGGCGAAGTTCTTCGACCAGGCGGCGATGCTCAGAGGGCTGTATATGATGGGCGTCGAGCTCTCGGACGCGCCTCTCGCAAGTGCCCTTCAGGCAAAGGTCTGAATCAAGGGCGCAGGTGGCCATTTTGGCGCGCAGTCTTCCGCCCCGCGCTTTCATGGCCGTGGGCGGGCTACGGTCGTCAGCGCGGTGATGGCGCGTGCTTGTGGATTGCAGTGCTCGACCAACTGCGCGGTCCAGAGCGCCGTGGACTGTCGAGTAGCTTCGGAGCTTGAACAGGATTCGAGCGTCGTGCCTAGCTGAGGAGCTGGGCGGCACGAAGGGGGCTGCAGGAATCCAGAGACCCCCGCAAGGTTTACTTCAAGAGACTCTGTACGTTGACGTTCGGGCTCAACGCATCAAGGCAAACATCCGAAGAAAAGATCTCGCCAGCTATTCTTATCCAATATGTTATAGCTGCAGCCGTGCTGTACTTTCTAGAGTTGATTATCCAACAGGATTTAAACATATGTGTAGACCTTGTACGATTCGGCAATCTCCAGAGCTCTGGTAGGATTATACCGTGCGCGTAGCTGTATTGAGGTTGGTGGAGAGCTGTGAGGATCCCACCAAGGTTGTAGCCATAACACGATTGAAACGGAGATGTAGTGGCAGCCTTTGTATATCAGAGTTGTACATAAGTATAGCTCCGGTCGGTTTGGACCACTAATGGGATTAAGTAGTGTGTCTAGCTTTGGTTGGGTCCCAGATGCTATGGTGAAGTTGTGTTGGAGTATTATGTAGGAGAAAGAGGATGACGAAAGAGGAGGAGGGAGGAGAGAAGGCGGAAAGAGGAGGAAAAGGCGAATCAACCCGGAACGGCCCCCAATGGGGGACTTCGTCGTCATCGTTCTTTGTACTGTTTTTAAGCATGTCGTGGTTTCTTAGCTACTCGTAGCTCTTCATCGTTTGATATGGGTGTGTGCTACGTACCACCCATTCCCAGCTTGTCCTCGTCATCGTCTCTCGCGCGTTCGTCCTGCCAGCATGCAGGACAGATATAAAGTAGCAGTGCAGGCGATTTGCGCGGACACCTCAGAGGAAGCAGTGGGGATCAACGGCGGAGGCTGCGAATGGTGGACGGATTATCCTTTGTTTTGTATCTATTCGCCTTTCTATGACGACGCCGACTTCACAGCCGCAGAGATGTGCTGCGCATGTGGGGGCGGCGAAGCAACGGCTCGCAGCGCTCTTCTTCACCGTCGTCATACGCTTTCCCCGGAGTTCTTGCAGATTGGCCGCATCTTCCACCAGAACCTCCCTCGTAATCCTTCAAACGTGTCAGCGTGTTTCTCCATTCCTCTCCTTCTCTCCTCCTCTCCTAGGTCGTCTTGGGGGGCCCCTTCGATGCCTTCTGGGGCATCTTAGAGGCCTCTCGGGGCCTCCGGGGGGCTCTTTGGGCCGTCGTTGGGCTGTGTTGGGGCCTTTTCTCGAGGCCTCGGAGGGTATATGGTGCCTTTTTTGGGAGCCTCTTCGGGGCCTCTCTGGCCGTCTCCAGGCCATCTTGGAGGCCTCTTGGGTCATCGTGGGCTGACGGAGGCCCGAAAAGAACAGGCAGGAACGCGAAAATGATTCAACAAATTAAAGCGAGTCAGTCCTCCCGGAGGTCCCCCCTGGCCTTCCCGGAGGTCCTCCAAGAGCCCTCTGCGGTCGCGTTCGTGGCCTCCCGAACCGTGTCGGAGCCTTTTTCGGCAGTCTTGGGACCGTCTTGGGCCACATGCTGACTCACTCGCATTCAGACTCATTCACATTCAGACTACCTCAGACTTGGGCCCGCTCGCACTCATACTCATTCGAGGTCAGAGTCACTCGTATTTCTACTTACTCACACTCAGTCTCACTCACACCGAGCAGATTGTGAGGATGTCTCGAGCCAGGCGCTGGTTTCAGCACCCCCAAGGGGGAGCCGCCGGGATGTTTTCCATGGGGCCGTTAGCGCCCAGATTGTGGGGATGCCTGAGGCGGTTTGCCCGTTCGGCTGCTTGTGATTCTTTGCTTTCAGAGCAGAGCGTGAGGATATCTCGAGCCACGCGCTGGTTCCAGCACGCCCCCGGCGGAGCCGCCAAGGCGTTTTCACGGGGCCGGTCGCGCCCAGATTGTGGGATGTCTCAGGCGGTTTGCTCGCTTGCTTGCTTGGACTTCTCGCAGAGCAGATTGCGAGGATGTCTCGAGCCAGGCGCTGGCATCAGCACCCTCAAGGGGGAGCCGCCAGGGTATTTGTCACGGGCCCGTTCGCGCCCAGATTGTGGGGATGTCTGAGGCGGTTTGCTTGTTTGGTTGCTTGGACTCTTCCGCAGTCAGGGCAGATTGCGAGGATATCTCTAGCGAGGCGCTGGCTTCAGCACCCTCAAGGGGGAGCCGTTGGGTTGTTTGTCACGGGCCCGTTCGCGATCAGATTGTGGGGATGTCTCAGGCGGTTTGCCTGTTTGCTTGCTTGGACTTCTCCGCTGTCAGGGCAGATTGCGAGGATGTCTCTAGCGAGGCGCTGGCTTCAGCACCCACAAAGGGGAGCCGCCGGGGTGTTTGCCACGGCCCGTTCGCGGGTGTCAGCACTCCGAAGGGGGAGCCGACATGGTGTTTTCGCGGGCCGTTCGCGCCCAGATTGCGAGGATGTCTCAGGTGGTGTGCCTGCTCGGCTGCTTGGATTTCTTCGCTTTCAAAGCACAGTGTGAGGATATCTCGAGCGAGGCGTTGGTTTCAGCAACCCCAAGGGGGAGCCGACTTTCGAGGCTTTCACGGGCCTGGTTCGCTCACGGATTGTGGGGATGTCTCGAGACAGGCGTTGGTATCAGGGTGTTTTCACCGGCCCGTTCGAGCCCCAAATGCGGGGATGTTTCAGGCGGATTGCTTGTTTGGTTGTTTGGACTTCTCTGCTTTCGGAACAAATTGTGAGGATGTTTCGAGCGAGGCGCTGGTTCGCCAGGGTGCTTTCACGGGCTCGATCGCGCCCAGATTATGGGGATGTCTCAGACGGTTTGCCTGTTTGCTTGTCTGGACGTCTCCGCTGTCAGAGCAGATTGCGAGGATGTCTCTCTCTCTCTCTCTCTCTCTCTCGGAGGAGGAGGAGGAGGAGGAGGAGGAGGAGGAGGAGCAGGAAGGAGCAGGAAGGAGGAGCAGCAGGAAGTTGGAGGAGGAAGAGGAGGAGGGATATCGTTTCAGCACCAAGGGGAGCCGCAAGGGGGTATGGCACTCCCCCGTTTACGGCCAGAATGTTGTCCTCTGCTGCGCGGAGAGGACGATGAGGAGGACCGGTGACAGTGCAAACCCAAGACGCATCAACGATGTTGCAATCAACCCTCACCCTCCTTCAAAGTTCCTTCTTCATAGGTCCCTACAAGCATTTTTCTTCATTGCATGAAGTGGCCCATTAGAAGACAACCGCTTGGTATTCTCCAACCGAGACAAAACACCATGATTGGGATGTCAACTCCGCCAGCGTGATTGTTGCGTGCTGACAATCCGAAATCACAACAGAACACCACACCGTTCGTGGGACTTCGACACCGCGAGCCAGTGCGACTGTTGTGTCCTGACAATCTTTAGTCATGCCAGAACACCCCTCCTTGGGCCTCAACCGTACGTTTTTCGAAAGTGCTGCAGATTGTGATCGCGCTAAGGCGAGAGCCACAATTTGAAAACGGCACTCCCTCAATCCGTGAAACTGTTGCAGATCTTTGGGACGAAAGTGTGCGGCATTAAGGTGGAAGCCACATTTTGAAAACGACCCGTCCATCTCCGTAGGCATTTTGATTCAAGCAATGGTTAAAACTGCACTCAAGGCAACCATACATTGTAGCGTCACTCCAGTGTCCACCCAGGCTGTCACGCCTGCTGCGCTCAGCACCGCTACCGCCGGCGCGCCATGGCAGCCAAGAAGGCCAGGACGAACGAGGAGTTTATGGGTGAGTTTCGGAACGCTCAGAGCATGGACGATAAGCTGCTGGTGATGTTCCGGGCGCAGGTGGACAACCAGACGTTCAACCAGCCAAAATTCGGGGAGTTCGACCAGCGCATGGACATTTTCGAGGGCCGCCTGACCTTGCTCGAGGGTCGGTTCGCGAGTAGAGCATCGGCTACCAGAACTACTGGGACTTCTTCGGGGATTCCGGGGGGAGGAGGTCATGGAGTTGGGGATGGTCGAAACCAGTATCATCTGCCAGTGAGTGAGAGGACTATGGTGTGTATCGGGGGGGTCCATCCCTACACGGAGGGCGCGGATATGAAGAACGCCTTGAAGGCTATTTGACTCGATGGGGAGATTCAGTACTGACGAGCCTTGCTTCCCAGGGTGGGCAGGACGCGCAAGATGACCTTCCACAGTAACTCGTTGATGTGGGACGCCATCAACGGTTACAAGGACAACAGCGACAAAAGTATAAAGTTCAATGGGTGGACGTGTGGATGAACGTCGACCTCTCCGCTCATGAGCGCAAGGCGTCCAAGAAAGTCCGGCGTCTGATGGAGATATTGAAGCCGATATTGGGGCAGAGAGCCTCATCTCGCGATGGTCGTCCTGCGAGGTCCTCCGAGTCACGAGCAACCAGGAGAAGGGCCCGGTGTGTAAGATGGACCCTGCGAGCAACCTCATATTTTGAGAGCCCTTGGCTGACAAGTACACGTCTTCCGACATGATGGGGGAAGTAGAGGAGGCTTTCAGACTGATGCCTCTGCGATGTGAGATGAGGAGGGCCAGGCTTTGGCAGCCCATTCGTTGAGCATTCTGTCGTGGAGTCTCGGGGATCAGATGGGCTGAGTTGGCAGAGCTTTTCAGCCAGCTCGAACTATGGCATGACCATTGGGACGTGCTCTTAATTCGAAAGAGCTTGATGGGAGGATTGTTGTAGCGTCGTGTCTGGATGGAGCAATTGTGTGTTTTATATAAACGGCTGGTAGCCGTCAGCGGTCGGCACGCAATGCGTTTGTCCGGATCGCTTGTCCTCCTCCCCTTCTTCCTTTCCTCGCCTCGGACGTCGCTGAAACTCTGCTGCTCCCTCCTCGGTGCATTTGGTGCCGGAGTTTGAGTTTTGCGGTTCGCTTCAGTTGACGTTCCAGCTTTCCTGGCGCAACGTCGTTCGGGAGCACTGCCCTTTGTGATATGACGCAGGCTGGCCAGAGGATTCACCATCGGAGCGGGGTTTGCGTCGCGCCGGAAAAAGAAAGAGCTTGATGGTAGGCGTGAGCGGTGACTTCTCGAACGGGGAGTCCGACATTGTTTACCTGGGCCATAGGCTGCTGTTCTCGCCCGGCGAGGGCGGGGCATGCGGAGTACGCGTGCTTATTCATTCTCGACGCAGTGGTCGCATAGAACGCCTGACAATTCACAAGAACTTTTTGATTATTGTAAATCAGCACTTGCGCGGAAACTGTTTCTGTTGAGCTCTGCTTATTTTCGGCATGCCGGCCATGGCATGGATGTCTTTCTCTAACCAGCTTGCATCTCTGGGGGGAGCTTTGAAAGCTCAGTTGGAGAATGGTGACGCCCTGATCCTGGGCACGGATATCAATGGCGAGATTGGTAGCACTGCGCGCTTTGGAGAATCGCGCGCGCTCGGAGACTACGGTGGCATGGCCAGAAACGCAATTGGAGAAGCCTTCTTGAATCTGCGCATGCGGAGCGGGTGGGGCATCCGAAACGCGTTCCAGGAGTCATCCCGCGCCGAACGCTTCACATGTTCAACTTCTCATGGCAAGACTTTCTTCGACTACGTCGTGAGAAACGTTCTTCTTATTTGTCAAAGTTCTGGAGTGGGGGATTTGCTGGTAAAGCCAACGAGTCATTTGTGCGTTCAGTCACGTGTTGCGCTGTCTTTTGTCCGGTCCAAGTCTGTCAGGAAACCCTCTCGGGTGGAGCGCGCGTGAATTGGCAGATTCCTTGCGCAAGCTGGCCGGCGGCGCTTGGGCGGGCGCTGCCGGTGGAAGAGCTCGGCGCTGCGCTCCGCAACGTTGCAGCGGAAACTGAGGCCCCGAACCGGGCTGGCAAGCAGAGGCGACGCGGCGAACACATTATCATCAATACTTTGACACGCCTGTAGCGGCGGGAAGACCACGCTGAGAGACGACGGCTTCTAGGCGCATGGATTCGCGCGGAGTCGGGGAAGTCGCCCAAGCGCGCAGCGCTAACAAAATCGCAGACTACACTTGACCGCCCGGGCGTAGGAAGGCGGGGCAGGAGCAGATCG